TTCTTCATTACCGTCCTACACACCACCATCCATGAATATCTGTCAGATGGTCAGGAAGGACTCGGCATCCCTCTGCAGAGCGCTCTGTACTCATGGAACGTTCTTCATTACCGTCCTACACACCAGCCACGAATATCTGTCAGATGGTCAGGAAGGACTCGGCCTCCCTCTGCAGAGCGCTCTGTACTCATGGAACGTTCTTCATTACCATCCTACACACCAGCCACGAATATCTGTCAGATGGTCAGGAAGGACTCGGCCTCCCTCTGCAGAGCGCTCTGTACTCATGGAACGTTCTTCATTACCGTCCTACACACCAGCCACGAATATCTGTCAGATGGTCAGGAAGGACTCGGCCTCCCTCTGCAGAGCGCTCTGTACTCATGGAACGTTCTTCATTACCGTCCTACACACCAGCCACGAATATCTGTCAGATGGTCAGGAAGGACTCGGCCACACCCCTCTGCAGAGCGCTCTGTACTCATGGAACGTTCTTCATTACCGTCCTACACACCAGCCACGAATATCTGTCAGATGGTCAGGAAGGACTCGGCCTCCCTCTGCAGAGCGCTCTGTACTCATGGAACGTTCTTCATTACCGTCCTACACACCAGCCACGAATATCTGTCAGATGGTCAGGAAGGACTCGGCCTCCCTCTGCAGAGTGCTCTGTACTCATGGAACGTTCTTCATTACCGTCCTACACACCAGCCACGAGTATCTGTCAGATGGTCACCCGGAGATTTATAGATTGTCACATAATGACCTGTCCTCACACTCTCCCATAATGTCCTACTAGATCCATCAAATTGTCCTCCTGACAACTTCCAAACACTCCGAGGTGACCTGGATATCATTAACTATCACAGCCCTGTGTAGGCCCGGGGGAAGGGAGGCCTGTCACACATGGCAGCCATGATGGAGTCACAGACAAAACAGTCATGAATGTTAATAGATTGAAAGTGTCTTCACAGACCCCGAGTTGACCTTTTTGTCTCATTTCCTGAGAATAATCATCTTGTTTTCTGGTGATTGTGGCCCCACAACATTTTCCCAACACTCTCTAATCAGGCTTAATTATAATCTGCGGGAGATCGGTGAAAAGCCCGGCCGCCACCACACACACAACATAATTGAGCTGCATTTTCTCTTTGATTAATTGAGTCTCTGAGAATCTTCATCCTGAATGTCAATGATATCTATAGCTGACCTCACTACCCACAATGCACCAGCTGCAAGCTCTTCAGATGGTCATATACAGTGTGTATATATATATATATATTCTGGGGCAGCTCTGCATAGAAACCAATCAGCTTCCAGGTTTTATTGTCAAAGCTTAATGGAACAAGCTGAAGCTAGAACCTGATTGGCTGCCATGCACAGCGGCACCAGATTCTGAGTTGCTCCAGTGTGACTAAATCTCCCCCCCGATGGATTTCAGAGACTTCTGGATTCACACAGAATAATGAAATCATAGGAATGACTCAATTCCCACCCTGTGAGCTGTATATGTTCAAAGGATTGTATTCTGCTGAAGGAACGTCAGAAGAGTCCATGTGGGAAGTGCCATCTGATGTCTACACTGAAGACATGAGGACAATGTGTAGGACCTGGCCATCTCTTCCATTCCATAGGAACCTCAGCCAGACGTGGGGTCACTACAAGAGAAGTTCATAGTACAGGCATGCATTCACCATCGAATACACCACACAGTGGGTAGGGTGAGCCCACCATTGGCTGCTATGGGCTTTGTGGGAAAGAAGGTTCAGATGGCCATCAGCCAAGTTTATGGAGCTTGTATGGTCACAGCTCGCCCTGTAGTATTCAGTGGTGACTGGAGAACCTTCAGGATTTAAGAACGACCAATGGAGGTGATTTGGTCTTCAAAGTCTGACCAACAATCTACCAACATAAAAAGGCCTGGATTCTTCCTTGGATACACAAAATATAACTGGATATTATTATTATTATTATTATTATTATACAGTATTTATAAAGCTCCAATAGTTGGCTCAGCGCTGTACATTACAGAGGGGGACAGAACATGTGACAGAACAATACCAATACAATGTGATACATGAGGGGGGATCGAGGGCCCTGATCCTGGGAGCTTACAATCTAGGAGGGAGGAGATGGTGGCACAGGAGGAGATAGCTGTGGGGGATGGGGTGGTAGGAAGAGTGGAGGAGGTTGGCAGGTTAGGAGGGGGGGTGGTGTAGGCTTCCCTGAAGAGATGGGTTTTCAGGGTGCGCCTAAAGGAGAGGAGAGTAGGTGATAATCTGATGGGTTGGGGCAGGGAGTTCCAGAGGATGGGTGACACCCTGGAGAAGTCCTGGAGGCGGGCATGGGAGGAGGAGACCAGGGAACAAGAGAGAAGGAGGTCTTGTGAGGAGCGGAGTGTGCGTGTTGGGTGGTACTTGGATATTAGGTCGGTGATGTAGTTCGGGGCAGTATGGTGGACGGCTTTGTACGTCAGTGTTAGGATTTTGAATTTGATCCGTTGGGCAATCGGAAGCCAGTGGAGGGATTGGCAGAGGGGGGTGGAGGACACTGAGTGGAGGCCAGTGAGGGATTGGCAGAGAGGGGGTGGAGGACACTGAGTGGAGCCAGTGGAGTGGCAGAGGGGGGTGGAGACCACTGAATGGAGGCCAGTGGAGGGATTGGCAGAGGGGGATGGAGGACACTGAATGGAGGCCAGTGGAGGGATTGGCAGAGGGGGGTGGCAGAAGCGGAGCGGTTGGAAAGGTGGATGAGTCTGGCAGCCGTATTCAGGATGGACTGAAGCGGGGATAGCCAGTGGTGAGGCAGGCCAGTGAGGAGGGAGTTGCAGTAGTCGAGTCGTGATATGATGAGGGAGTGGATGAGCTGTTTAGTGGTTTCTGGGGTTAGGAACATGCGGATTTTGGGATGTTGCGGAGGTGGAGTCTGCATGTTGCGGAGGCGGAGTCTGCATGTTGCGGAGGTGGAGTCTGCATGTTGCGGAGGTGGAGTCTGCACGAGTTTGTTAAAGATTGGACTTGGGGCTGGAAGGATAGGTTGGAGTCCAGAATGACACCAAGTACTCTGGCCTGATATAACATTTATAGGGAACGTTGATCCCGGGAATATCCGATTATTGATCCAGGGAATATCCGATTATTGATCCCGGGAATATCCGATTATTGATCCCGGGAATATCCGATTGCCTCTCGGGGGATCAGGAAGGAATGTTTCCCCAGCAGGAGCAGATTGGATCGTGCTTTGATGGATTTTTTTTTGCCTTCCTCTGGATCAACTGTGGGTGGAGGATTATAACTTTTTTTTTCTATTGTTGAACTGGATGGACTTTTGTCTTTTTTCAGACTAACTATAGAACTATGTAACCCAAGAATCCTTATAAAATCATAAAGGCAATAAATAACACACAATGACCTGTAGCCCTGGCTGGTGGTCCCTGACTGGCAGGAATAGGAGCCTCACAGCCTGGACATCCCTCAAGTTGAACCACCCCAACTTGTCTATTTTTCCCCACCATGGAAGGACAGTGCGTCAGGGTGAGGAGGATCCTGATTGACCTCCTGTCCTGCTCCCTGGACTGGCAGGAATGGAAAGGGAGAGTTTGGCCAGGACTGGTTTCCTGCAGGACAACCTGGAAGCTGCCAGGCTGCAGGGAAAGAGAAAACTGCTGGAAGCCCACAGGGAGGAGACAGGTGGTAAGGGACCCTCCAGGAAGCCCAGGAGAAGAACCCGGAGGAAGAGGTGTGCATGGCTGTGAGTGACACAGACTACCAAGTGTTGTGCAGAGAGTGGATCCTGCAGGCCATCTACTAGGCATCACTGAGACCTGCAGGACCATAGTAAGCAGAGAGTGGCCGGAAGCTGGCAAGGAGGCTGAGTGCAGGACCCCCCTGGGCGGGTGGGGGGGCACATGTGTGTGGCTAAGAACCATATGCAGAGCTAAGGAGCCCTGCCTGTGTGCCTGTACTTGGGGTACATGTGCACTGCCCACTGTGATGCTGAACACTGAGCCCCTCTCCATTGAGACCATGAGGCCCATGTCTTATCTGCTCCCATGGCAGAGATAGTGCACTCTGTCTGCTTCCCTCCATCCACCTACTGGAGTGACCCTCCACCTTCAAGCCTCAGTCATACAGGCCTCCCCCTAAGCCTCAACGTTCCTCTCGGCTTCCATTCCAAGGCCAGAAAGACCACAATGTCAGCTGTATGAATGGTCAGGGGATCTCGGTGGCCCTTTATATGGAGATCCAAGTCATAGCCACATACAGGAATGCTCAGCCAGCAATTACCTTAGAAGTCATTGTGGGAAATATTTGAATTTGTAGTGAAGACTTTCCTTCGTTCCCGAACCGCCATTTCTGAAATAGAACTAATTTGCAGGCAGGCAGAGAGAGAAGATCGCCAGCAGCTGCACAGTGAGGCTGATTGCCCAATAATACAAATAAAAGACGTATTTTCTGCTCAGACAGCAATTCAATCTCCTTCAAATGGAAACAATTTTAGCTTCTCGCTCTCCTTCCACTCATCATCTTCAGCGATGAAGAGCCCCTCCACCTTCACACTGACCCTAATTGTACCCTCACAAAGGCTCACTCTCACAGCTCTGTTTATCTCGTTACCTAGAACCATCACAGAACACAGAGACACCGATCCTCAGTTCCTGCTGGGAAGAAGCTGGTCGGGGAGGGGGGTGGCCGCTGGTCGGGGAGGGGGGCGGCCGCTGGCGGGGAGGGGGGCGGTCGCTGGTCGGGGAGGGGGTCACCGGGAGCTTAAATGTAAAGAAGATCTACTGTGTGTGTCCAACAACGTGCTGAGGAGGCTTTCCTGTCCTGGAAGTAGGAGAGATGGAGCAACATGGTCAATGGGTGGTCATTTGGGTGGTCTATAGTCGGGTTGGTTGTCTGGAGTGTCCAGTCTGTTGGGGTATTAGTCTTGGTCTATGTTTACACTGCAGGGCTTAAAATTTCAAGTCCTGAGCTACTAGCCAGGCCTTAGAGTTACTTGCCACCAACAAACACACACAGAGACACCTGTACACACACACAGACATGTACACACACACGCACAGAGACACATGTATACACACAGATACATGTACATACACACAGACACACACACATGTACATACACAGACACATGTACACACACACAGACACACACACACGTACACACACACGCACAGAGACACGCATACACACAGATGCATGTACATACACAGAAATACACATGCACATAGACACACATACATGTACGTACACACACACATACATGCAGACACATGTACACACACACACACACACACACACACACACACACACACACACACACACACACACATGTACATACACGCAGACACATGTACACACAGACAAATGTACACAGATACATGTACATACACGCAGACACATGTACAGATACACACATGTACATACACACAGACACATGTACAATTGTACATACATACACACGTACATGTACACCCCCCCATAAAAAGTTGCAGTACTTCGCTGTTCACTCACAGAGCCGGGTACAGCACTCTAGGGGGAGGCAGAGAGCACAGCACACACTCCTTCCTTTGCTTTCACTGCGCTCAGCTATTGGGCAGTCTGACGGCTCCCAGTGCCAATGACAGATCCGGCCTGAGCTCCGAGCCTGCTCAGCAAGACGGCCCTGGGGGACACACTCGCCCCCACCATCATTTCCACTCGCCATTGGCGAGCAGACAAGTGGAAATTTCAAGCCCTGGTTTAGACTATCAGCTGCATTTATCATCTGGGTTTCAGATGCTGCCTCTACTGGACCGCCTATGTCATGATGGACCACCCCCACCCTCTTTATCCCCACTTCCCCTTGTTAGAAATGTACCCTTTTCTCTTCTTCAACACTTGATGCTTACCTGCTCTCTTAGCTTCTTGCTTAGGCACTCAGCCGCACCCTCCAAATGCTCAGTCCCCCTATGTGGGTGTATGTCCCTGATGTTGCTTCAGTCTACTCTTGACAGTTCACTTGGTGAGAGTCTCATTAGGAGTTCTCATTGCACACAGAAATACTCAAAGCTGGATGAAGTGTAAAATGCAACCTCCTCGTACTTCCATCATTGCCTGATTTACGCCATAAGCTGAGCATTAGATTGTCCATGTCCACTAACCCACGTCACTGTCCACTAACCCACGTCACTGTCCACTAACCCACGTCACTGTCCACTAACCCACGTCACTGTCCACTAACCCACGTCACTGTCCACTAACCCACGTCACTGTCCACTAACCCACGTCACTGTCCACTAACCCACGTCACTGTCCACTAACACACGTCACGTCCACTGTCCACTAACCCACTCACTGTCCACTAACCACGTCACTGTCCACTAACCCACGTCACTGTCCACTAACCCACGTCACTGTCCACTAACCCACGTCACTGTCCACTAACCCACGTCACTGTCCACTAACCCACATTACTGTCCACTAACCCACGTCACTGTCCACTAACCCACGTCACTGTCCACTAACCCACGTCACTGTCCACTAACCCACATCACTGTACAGAATCTCCATGCTGTGCCTTATCGTTAGGTCTTTTCTCCTTTGTATTTCATGTCTGTGAATCCGAATACATTCAGACTGAACTGCTGAGGAAGGTTTCCTGTCCTGGAAATAGAAAGGATGGAGCAACACTGGGAGTGGCAGTTTGGGTTGTCTATAGTCTGGTTGGTTGTCAGGAGAAATGTTCAGTCTGTTGGGGTTCAGCTGCCTGCACAGCTATTGGATTGGTTGTGTGGTCATTTCTCTGGACAGTTTTCTGGTCAGCTGTTTGGGGAAGCATCTGGTCTGTAGGGTTGGTTGTGTGGTCATTTCTCTGGACAGTTGTCTGGTCAGCTGTTTGGGGAATCATCTGGTCTGTTAGGGTTGGTTGTGTGGTCATTTCTCTGGACAGTTGTGTGGTCAGCTGTTTGGGGAAGCATCTGGTCTGTTGGGTTGGTTGTGTGGTCATTTCTCTGGACAGTTGTCTGGTCAGCTGTTTGGGGAACATCTGGTCTGTAGGGTTGGTTGTGTGGTCATTTCTCTGGACAGTTGTCTGGTCAGCTGTTTGGGGGAAACATCTGGTCTGTAGGGTTTTGTGGGTCATTTCTCTGGACAGTTGTCTGGTCAGCTGTTTGGGGAAACATCTGGTCTGTAGGGTTGGTTGTGTGGTCATTTCTCTGGACAGTTGTCTGGTCAGCTGTTTGGGGAAGCATCTGGTCTGTAGGGTTGGTTTGTGTGGTCATTTCTCTGGACAGTTGTCTGATCAGCTGTTTGGGGAAGCATCTGGTCTGTTGGGTTGGTTGTGTGGTCATTTCTCTGGACAGTTGTCTGGTCAGCTGTTTGGGGAAACATCTGGTCTGTAGGGTTGGTTGTGTGGTCATTTCTCTGGACACTTGTCTGGTCAGCTGTTTGGGGAAGCATCTGGTCTGTTGGGTCTGTTGGGTTGGTTGTGTGGTCATTTCTCTGGGCAGTTTTTCTGGTCAGCTGTTTGGGGAAGCATCTGGTCTGTTGGGTTGGTTGTGTGGTCATTTCTCTGGGCAGTTTCTGGTCAGCTGTTTGGGGAAGCATCTGGTCTGTTGGGTTGGTTGTGTGGTCATTTCTCTGGGCAGTTTTCTGGTCAGCTGTTTGGGGAAGCATCTGGTCTGTTGGGTTGGTTGTGTGGTCATTTCTCTGGACAGTTGTATGGTCAGCTGTTTGGGGAAGCATCTGGTCTGTAGGGTTGGTTGTGTGGTCATTTCTCTGGACAGTTGTCTGGTCAGCTGTTTGGGGAAGCATCTGGTCTGTAGGGTTGGTTGTGTGGTCATTTCTCTGGACAGTTGTCTGGTCAGCTGTTTGGGGAAGCATCTGGTCTGTTGGGTTGGTTGTGTGGTCATTTCTCTGGACAGTTTTCTGGTCAGCTGTTTGGGGAAGCATCTGATCTGTTGGGTTTTCAGTTGGGCCTAGTTAGTTGCCTGGTCAGCTGTTGGGCTGGTTATCTGGTCAGTTGTCCGGTCAGTTGGACATTGATTTAGTGTTGTGTGGATGAAGTTAATGATGGAGAAGCTCATCCCACCTCCCTGGTCATGTTTATTTCCCCATATTCCATTTTCTTCTTAGTCTAGGCAGTAGATGTACCATTCCCTCTGGAAGCCGCATCGTCTCCCTCCCTCCTGATACATACAAAGCATCGCTCTATATCAGGACTTTCTGTATTTCTGCCAGAAATTGGACTGAAATAACTGTGAAATAACCGTGTCTCTCCTCCGTATTATCCAGGCACTTACCCCAATTTACTGCCATTTTCCGCCATTTTTCTGCAGACTTTGATGTTCTTTCTCATATTTGCCTGTTTGATAATCTCCTCTTCTCTTCTACAAAACAGCAGCCAAGTAGCAGAATGACAGACCTCATCCATACATTTCACCGCGCTGGATCACTCATATCTTCATTAATGTGAAAGTCCAGAGATCGAATCTTCTCCTCACGCTGAATGGGCCTCAGTGATACATCAGATCTATCTGGAGGAGGAATCCCCACAACCGATGTGTGCGTAGTATAGGACTGACCACATACACCCACCGGACACTTTATAGGTCCACCTGTTCCATGGCTCGGTAACACAAAGTGCTAATCAGCCAATCACATGGCAGAAATCCAAGGCATTTAGGCATCTAGACGTGGTGAAGACGACTTGTTAAAGTTCAAACCGAACATCAGAATGGGGAAGAAAGGGGGAAACACATCTGGTTAATAGAGGCATTATGCCGTTTTCAATCAGAGGAGCTATAATTATTTTATACGCCATTTATCAAGTGTGAGAAGGTATCTGCTTCACCGACCTGCATTTCACCCACACATGGCAACGGCAAGCCTGGTTGGGACAGCGTCAATGTAAAGCCTCTTAGATTGTAAGCTCCCAGGATCAGGCCCTCCCTCTTAGATTGTAAGCTCCCAGGATCAGGCCCTCCCTCTTAGATTGTAAGCTCCCAGGATCAGGCCCTCCCTCTTAGATTGTAAGCTCCCGGGATCAGGGGCCCTCCCTCTTAGATTGTAAGCTCCCAGGATCAGGCCCCTCCCTCTTAGATTGTAAGCTCCCAGGATCAGGGCCCTCCCTCTTAGATTGTAAGCTCCTAGGATCAGCCCCTCCCTCTTAGATTGTAAGCTTCCAGGATCAGGCCCTCCCTCTTAGATTGTAAACTCCGGGGGATCAGCCCCTCCCTCCTAGATTGTAAAGCTCCTGGGATCAGCCCCTCCCTCTTAGATTGTAAGCTCCTGGGATCAGGGCCCTCCCTCTTAGATTGTAAGCTCCCGGGATCAGCCCCTCCCTCCTAGATTGTAAACTCCTGGGATCAGCCCCTCCCTCTTAGATTGTAAGCTCCCAGGATCAGGGCCCTCCCTCTTAGATTGTAAACTCCTGGGATCAGCCCCTCCCTCTTAGATTGTAAACTCCTGGGATCAGCTCCTCCCTCTTAGATTGATCAGGATCAGGGCCCTCCCTCTTAGATTGTAGCTCTCAGGATCAGGGCCCTCCCTCTTAGTTTGTACTCCCAGGATCAGGCCCCTCCCTCTAGATTGTAAACTCCCAGGATCAGGCCCTCCCTCTTAGATTGTAAACTCCCAGGATCAGGCCCCTCCCTCTTAGATTGTAAACTCCCAGGATCAGGCCCTCCCTCTTAGATTGTAAACTCCCAGGATCAGCCCCTCCCTCTTAGATTGTAAACTCCTAGGATCAGCCCCTCCCTCTTAGATTGTAAGCTCCCAGGATCAGGCCCCTCCCTCTTAGATTGTAAACTCCCAGGATCAGGCCCTCCCTCTTAGATTGTAAACTCCTAGGATCAGCCCCTCCCTCTTAGATTGTAAGCTCCCAGGATCAGGCCCCTCCTAACCCTCTTGTATTGTTCTGTATTGTCTCCCATTATATTATACAGCGCTGAGCAAAACTGTTGGCGCCATAAATCCTGTATAATAATAATAATACAACTTCTGTACATTACACTAAGATTGGGTACGGGGCCATGGAAGAGGGCGTGGAAGAGCACAGGGCGTGGAAGAGCACAGGGCGTGGAAGAGCACAGGGCGTGGAAGAGCACAGGGCGTGGGAGGGTGTGACATAAATGTACAGATTTGAGTAGATAAGATGTGATCTGTAGCAATATGTAATCGGAAATTTAGTTCATTCCTTGTCATTAAAGATGTATTCAGTCATATATTCAGTCAGAGGTATTCAGAGACATATGGTCACCAATTAGCATCTGAAAAGACAGAGCAGCTTCCTCAGGCTGGAAGTGACACCTAAGTGCCAATAAGATTTGTCACCTTCCGGGAAACCTGGAAGGAAATGGCTCAAGACAGTTCAGCTGCAGATGACCAGGGGGGCCCGATCTGTCTGGGAGCTCTAAAGTATATACACAGATCAAAGGAGTATGTTTCCTCCCTCATAAAAGTATTAGTCGCAGAGAGATGAAAATACTTGCTTCTGATTGGACACTCTGTAGGCTACATCTGCATGTAAAAACTGTATTTGTGGCCTATGTAGGATGCCAGAAAATGCAGGAAATGGTTATGCGGCTCTGGATCGCGACAGATTGAACAGCGATTGGTACTGTCACGATCGGACTGATGCGCTGGTGTCGGAAATTCAATCCCTGACTTGGGGATTCAGACCGTTTCTGGTCTAATCGACTTTGGGAACTTCAGTACCCAGAACATCCTGTGGGCGGGTACAGGAACACCCCCAG